AGAGAGAGCATGGGGAATTGCCAACGGCTTTGTAGTTGTGGTCTGCGGACTTTGTATATGAATCAAGCGAAACGATGAGGATAGGGCAGGGAAGTCCACATGCCCATATTGGTGTTGATGAATGTGAGATAAGTGTGTGCGTGATTGGAACGGGTCCCATCGGAGTATACAGTACCTGTCCCCGGAGATGCGGTCACCTCGATGACGCGGCAATGATGACAAGATCGATTGATATAATTAGGTTTTGAATCTTTGATATGACAATTTGTACGTTGCGCCCCTGACGTCTCTGACGTGTCTCTGACATGGCTCTGACATGGCTCTGACATGGCTCTGACGGGGCGAGACGCCAATGTGTGTGGCTGTGGTCGCTAGCTCGTTTGCGGCGCGGAAAAAAGGTGGTGGGTGTCTCACGTTAATAGTCGTTCAAGAGTATTGGCTGGTTCGCAAATGATTTTTTCTTTTACTTTTTGAATAATTGTGGGCGAAGTGATCCACCTTCACGTTTTTTCCCTTTTGCGGCTGTAATCGAGCACATACTCACACTTGTCGTATCTGACTCCAATTACTGTCAGATGAAGTAAAGAGGGCACTTTTGTGGTATCTGGGTACAATCATGGCCAGAGTAAGGTGTGTAAGTATGCTGTAAAGCATTAAGATTTTTTAGTGAGTATTCTACGGGTGCACTGAGCTCTTCTCCGTCCCTTCAGTTCCCTCTCTCCCAATCTCTTTTCTCGCCATCGCTCTTTTGTGACATGTCTCTGTCTTCCAACTTTGCTACCTCTCTCCCAGATCCCTCCCCCTTTCCCCCTCCGCCTTTCCCCCTCCCGCTTTCTCTCCGACTTGTTTGTCTTTCTTAACTCTCTCCCTCTTCTCCAGCGCTCTTATGTTTCCTCGCGCCATGTCCCCCTTCCTTTCTATCATGTTCGCCTCTCTCCATTATATATGCCTGCTCTATACTGTCCCTGCTATCTTTTGTCACAATGTCGCCAGTGCTTCTTCTCTTCCTCCTATGACCTCGTCGTGTTTGGCGCGCTTTCTATCCTGCGGCAGCGCAATGACAGCCACTCAGAGCGTTTTTTTCCCCCTTCGCTGTTGTGTTTTCCTGCTTCACGGAGGCTGTACTGAGCCTCTCACCCCTATGTTTTCGTCAGGTGTCGCCGTCGAAGAAGCAGCCCAAGGAGGAACCGAACTCCTCGGCCCCCTCCCCCACCCCGTTCTTCCGTCCCCCCCCGCCCAAACACCCCCTTTTTTCCTTTCCCCCTTTCGAGAGAAAACGCTGAATGTACAGGGCGCGAGGCCAACTGAGTTCCACCACGAGTGAGATATGTGTCGTTTTTTTTTTTCTTCAAAAAATATAAGTGCCGTTTTCGGGTTACCTTGAGAAAGGGATGGGAATCCTGTCTGTCATGCAGAGCACCGGCGAATGACTCAATCGAGGAACATCGAGCGGGAAAAGAGGTTAAATGAAGGTTGCGACAATGATCCGGCAAGGGATGGCTGCGAGTGATTGTTGGCTGGTATGACTCACGTCCAATCGTTGCGATCGGGATGCCAGTTTCGAAAAACGTCCCCTCCTCCTCCTCAGGGTCGCTGCTGGCGCGAATGTCATTTGCTGCAGTCGTACGTAGTTTCTGCCGCTTCGAGCCTGGTCGGCGGTGAAGCACATCGCTGCTCTTTTGTTTGTTTCTTCAATTTTCACTATGTTTTTCACTTCGGTATCACGTTGTTTCACTTGTTTTCTCTGTGTCTCCGCTGTCCTTGCGTTGCGCAGGCGTTAAGATGAGGCTGGCGAGGTTTGATCTTAATTATGTATTCGACTTTTTCCAGGTCTAATTAGTGCTTATCCAGTCGTTTCGCGTTTGTCCTGGCTGACAGGAGGGGTTTTATTTCGAGGGTGTCAGTTGGCTTCTGGTGTGACGCTTGTCGAGATCGAGCCTGGCAAAGCCTGGCAAAAAAGGAAAAAACAAAAGGCGTGGTGGAGTGGACATGGAAGCTTTCCAGTAAAATGCTGCTGTGTTGCTTTGCTGTGTCTCACGACTGCGCAGTTTGTGTGGGCACTCAGTAGTTTCTTCTCCTTTGCATGGGCGAATCGCCCCCTCGGTTACGCGCTCCTCGTGGAGATGGGAGAGAGAGAGGTACCCAATTCTCTCTCTTTCTCCTTTTACCGGATGGAGAAAGTAGAGGAGAACGCGCTCCTCGTGGAGGTGGGGGAGAGAGAGGTACGCATCTCTCTCTGTGCCGTCACCGCATCGAGAAAGCGGGGAAGAGAGAACGCGCTCGTCGTGGAGATGGGGGGGACAGAGGTATGCATCTTCTCTCTGTGCCGTCACCGCATCGAGAAAGTGGGGAAGAACGATAGAATGTGCTCTCTCCTGTCGTCATATGGGTGTTTTTCTGTCTGTTTTGAATGTGCCCTAAACGTATGTCCTGGTAGGTATCATTACCAAAATTGGTCGGCTGCGCGTTTGCCTTGCCTCTCCCGCTTTGAATGTCGTCTCCCCATGCTAGGAAAAGGAAAGTTCTCACTAGCAATAGAAAACTTCGGTGGTGCGACGGCTCTCTTTCAAATGCTCAAAATGAGATGAAGTGCTACGTAATTCAACTGTGCGTTTCCGCAAGGATGGAGCTTAGTGGTGAGCGTTCAGCTAGCTTGTTATCCCGCTGCTCTGGCTGGCGCCTGAGGCGGAAGCTGTGTGTGCGTATCTCGCACGCTGGCGGGCTCTTTTCCGTTTTTTTCTTTTTTTCCTTTTGGTGGGATGTACTTCCTCTGGATAATCTATTGCCGCGATCGGTGGAAGGTCAAGATGACTCACCAGAACACGTGCGGCTCGGAGGGCGGGAAAGCGATTTGCCGCCAGTATCACGTGCGGTTCGGGGAAAGCGATTTGCCGCCAGTATCACGTGCGGTTCGGGGAAAGCGATTTGCCGCTAGAAGCGGACGTTGTAAATTCGTGTTCAAGTACATTGATGCAAAGGATTGGGAGAATGGCGAGGGAAGGGGGTGACTGCTGCGCGATGCAAACGAATTACTTTTCAAACGAAACAACGCCAATGTAGTATAGTATGGACGACTTGGTCGGATGTAAGGGTACACACACTAGGAGTTTTTTACTCATTTATGGACGCAATTGCGGTCACAGTCATCCAGGCGCGGCCGTAAATGCGGTCAGATACATTTAACATAGGGCTAGTGTGAGTACGCCCCGAGTAACAGTCGACAGATTGGCGCGTGATTTTCCTTTCTCTATTTTGCCAGGATGTGCTGTCTTCATGCTTTGCTTTGCACCTCGGTTACTCCTTCAGGGGCTTGTTGCGCGCCACTCGCCATCCACCAAGATTCCGAATGCATCTGGACAAACTCCCAAGTTCAGATGCTGATGGCGAATGGTGCAACTAGGCCCTCACCATGTACGTCCCTTTCATATGTAAAGAAATGGAGACGGGTTGCTGTCAGGTAATGTCTCTAGCAACCGGTGATTGTGCTCGAGATGGGGCAAGACGGGTGGTTGAGGGCCGGGGGGGGGGGGGAGGGCGCAGACCATATGGCAGCGGGGGTTGAAGTGTACCGCGAGAACAAAGGCATGAGAGAGAACCTAGTACCTACCCGTCAAGGGCGCAGATTGCCTCTTCGCACGAAGATTGCCACTCCGTTCTCCATGAGAGAGGGAAGGAAGGTGGGAACGTACCGACTCGCTCGAGATGGCGGAGAGGCAATGTTACATGTAACGTTCGTCCAATTATTTGCTGCGAGCTACGGAAAAGAATGATATGACATCTGCGCTCACTGGTCTTCCACTTGTGTGTGTGTGTGTGTCTGTGTGTAGAGAGAGAGAGAGAGAGAGAGAGAGAGAGAGAGAGAGAGAGAGAGAGAGAGAGAGAGAGAAGACCGTTGAAACTTCATGGCGCTAGTGGGCATAAAGAATCCTCTCTTCCCAAGTCTGCAAGATGGCGCTAATAGATTTCGCTCTGGCAACTGTCACGATGGTTGCTCCTCACTGATGTCGACTTCTCGATCTGCAAATGCAGGCGTTACTCGTTGTGTGACGACACATAACTTGTTGTTAATCTATCTCCCTGTATATTGAAGGTGTATGCCTTGGCACGATCGCTTTGTCGATTTTGATCATCCTGGATTTTGCTTGTTCTCCCTCTTATTCTTCTTCGCCGTTCTGTTGCTATGCGAACTGGAAAAGCGAAACGACTACGGTCCGATTCATACCATCCGTTACGCCTAATTCGTGTGCTTTTTTTTTTCAGTTTCTTTGGAAAGGTGTAATCCAGGGAAAAAAAAGCACAACTGGTGTGCTATATCATTCACTGCTTTATGGATGTTCACGTTATCCTTTTTTTTAATAAAGAACCTTCATTATATAGGCAGGAAATCACGTCGTCCTTTTATTGGTGAGCATATAAGTGCACGCAGCAGCAGCGCACAGGAAAGAGGCCGGACATGAACTCAATGGTACAAGCATGTAGCTGACATCAGTTCGAATCCTTATTTAGCAACGAAACTTGGGCCAGAGAAAGAGTTTGCCAATCCTCTGATTTTGGAACAGAACTTTATATTGAGAAAGAGTTCGTCACGCCAGTCGACAGCGAAATTAGGGCATACTCACGCAGCGGTGGCATTCCAAGGTTTGCTATCTCGCATTTGCTGAAGTACTACCCGGCCTGGTCACACAGTTGTAGAGAATCAGAAAAAACATGAGCGGGACTCTCTGGCAATTGCGGAAATGGTGTCTTGCGCGGTCACACAGTGCAAGGTCCAAATCCTAGATTTTTTTTAATTTTTTTCTTAGGTCCAACGAAATTCTTTTCTATTTTCCTTGGTCTCTACCCTGCCAACGGGCGAATTGCGGTGCTCTGATCCGTCATTCAACCGGGCCAGTGGCATGCACACACGAGAGTGCAGCCGTGCGACAAGGGAGGATGCCCTGTGGTTTTGCTGGCACCATATCCTGTGTAGGCCCAAAGTTGGGGTGGGGTTTTGCTGGCACCATATCCTGTGTAGGCCCAAAGTTGGGGTGGGGTGAGGTTGAGGGGGGCAGGGGTGCGGGGTTTCGTTGTGAGTTGAGCAGTGCCAGGAACGATGGCTACTACTCTCCACATGGCTCCACTCATCTCCAAATGTGCAATAGGGGAGTGAATCTTCTGCTACACGGGGGGGAAATACACCCTCATACTTTTTTATATTTTGTGCACGTGGAGTTTGCGGAACAGGACATGGTACTTCAGGGGTCCTGCGGACCGGTTGTGGAACTAGGGGGGAAGCCTGCGGATGATAGAACTATTGTCTACCGCGTGGGCGCGGGGAACGCAGCCCTAAGGTAGCCAAAGCAATGGGTGTAAGTGTGCGTACAAGAGAGAGAGAGAGAGAGAGAGAGAGAGAGAGAGAGAGAGAGAGAGAGAGAGAGAGAGAGAGAGAGAGAGAGATCAATCAATCAAGTGTCAAATTAATCAATCAATCAACCAATCAACCGATCAATAAAGTTTTTTTTTTTTTTTTAAAAGAGAGAGAGAGAGAGAGAGAGAGAGAGGCTGAATGACTAAATTGGAGTATGGCTCAGATTGCAGCCGCGATTGGGGTGAGGGCTACTGACAGAAAAGGAAAAATTTAAATTTTGGAAAAAAAAACAAAAAGAGAAAGAGAGAGAGAGAGAGAGAGAGAGAGAGAGAGA